AAAAAAAAAAAAAAGGTCCCCAAACCAGAGAAGTCTCAGACCCCATCAACTCTGACTGCCCATTTGAGTTTGGTCTTTATTTTCCCTGGGCAAATGTCACACTAGGGGACACTTGTGTTCCCAGGGGAAATGGGAACATCTCTACTTGCCTTGAGCTTCTCCCCAGCATCTTCTATCTCAGTTATGTTGTCAGCATGCTGCTGCTTCTTGGTGGCCAAATGCTGCAAACATTCTTGGATGAGCTTCTGATGGGAGGGAAGGAAAGAAAAAGCTGAAACACCATGTCATCCAGATAACAAGCGCTCATCTCCCCTCACCTGGGCTCTTTTTCAGAGGAGGTATCTGAGACTTGGAAGGTCTTGAGTCTTGCCTAGTAGTGTAGAAGATGGAGGATGAGCTGGGCCTCAGAGGGCCATGCCAGAGATTCCTCAGGTCTGGAGGGTCTCTCTTCCACCTTCCTAATCTACTTTCTGAAGCTCCTATGTTTTCAAAGGTCTGCTCTCTTCCCCATCCCCAAGAAGTGTGGCAGCCACAATCTAGCTTTGTCTTCCTTACAGCTGGCCTTCCAGTGGCTATTGGGCCTGACCCCAGACTCTTCCTGGGGACCATGAGGGACAGGCACTCAGAAGCCTTTGATGAACCAAACAATTACTAGGACCTGCCAATGGCCATTGGAAGGCTGAGGCCCCAGGCAAATGATAACAAGCAACAACTCCAAAGTGAGAGGAGACCAAAGGGACCCAGCTCTGAGTCCCAGCTCTGCTCCCTCACCTGTGTAAACCTCTGTCCTGGGAACTAAAGGAGGGATTGATTGGCCAATGGAGGTGCTCAACATGGGCTGATGTGTCATCTTAACCTCCAACAAACCTTCCCTATGAAGTGCACAACTTTGTTTATGCTGGTGCTAGGGCGTAAACTCTGGGCCAGGGTGCTGTCCCTTAGAGTTTTTGCTAAGGAATGGACCACTTGAGCCACAGCTCCATTTCTGTGCACAGCTTTGTTTAAAGGATGGGGTAGACCCAGGAGAATGGTCATAACTCAAGCATAGCTTGGCCTTGGCTTGGAGAAGTGCACCCTGAGTATGGTAACTCAGAAGCCAGCTCCTGTTCATCACAGACCAAGAACATCCTAATTTCCAAGTGGCCATGCCCTCCAGCCATAGGTCCTTCTACCTCAGCACCTGCTGACACCCTACGCAAACTTTCAGGACCAGTTCCGATGGCCACCTCCCCTACCCAGCCTTCCAGGGTTTCCTATTTGTTCAACTGACCACTGCCTTGGACCCTCTAGTTACAGTGATTACTCCCCAATTACTGTCACTGTCCTCTCCCAGCCACCTCCTCCTGATCCATGGCACAAGTATGTGCTGAATGGATGTTTGATGATGGATATGTGGATAGGTGAGTGGGCACGCAGATGAGAAAAGGCTGTATATAAGTAGAGGTGGGTAGACAGATGGAAGATAGAACAACTGTGGGAGACTCTTGAAACATTTCTAGAAGCAGGCTTGTTAACTCAGGCTTTTTTTTTTTTTACTGGTACTGGGATACTGGGATTTGAATTCGGGGCTAGCACTCTACCACTTGAGACATGCCTCTAGCTAACTGCCCCCCCCATTTTTTTTTCTATTTTGGAGATTCTAGCAGATTTTTCTGCCCAGGCTAGCTTTAAACCCACAATCCACCAGATCTCAACCTCCTGAGTAGCTAGGATTACAGGCTAGGAGCTATTATCACAGCTATTTTATTTTATTTATTTTTGGGGGGGTCCGGTTGTGGGGCCTGAACTCTGGGCCTGGGCACTGTCCCTCAGCTCTTCAGCTCAAGGCTAGCGCTCTACCACTTGAGCCACAGCGCCACTTCCGGCTTTTTTCTTTTTGCTTATGTGGTGCTGAGGAATCGAACCCAGGGTCTCATGCATGCAAGGCAAGTGCTCTACCACTGAGCCACCTTCCCAGCCCATTTGATAACTATCAAAAAAGGCAGGTTCTGGAGGTTCTTGAACCCAAGATTCTACAAACAGCCTGATTTCACCTTGCAAGTTGTGACAGCAAGTCATTCTGAGCAGGATGGGGTCTGCAGGATGTAATGTCCTGAGGGCATAAGGTAGAGTTCATTGTGGACTTCTTAGGGGTGGCAGCACACCTGTTTCTGTTGACATAGAGGGCGTCTAGCCCAGACTTCATGAAGCCCAGAGAGAGGGGAACTTAGCCCAGTGCCTCCCACCCAGTGGGCCACAGGCTGGAACAGAAATCCAAAGACAGGGCTGGGAAGGTGGCTCAGTGGTAGAGCGCTTGCCTTGCATGCCTGAGGCCCTGGGTTCAATTCCTCAGCACCACATAAGCAAAAAGAAAAAAGCCGGAAGTGGCGCTGTGGCTCAAGTGGTAGAGTGCTAGCCTTGAGCTGAAGAACTCAGGGACAGTGCCCAGGGCCAGAGTTCAAGCTCCACGACTGACAAAAAAAAAAAAAAAAGGTCCCCAAACCAGAGAAGTCTCAGACCCCATCAACTCTGACTGCCCATTTGAGTTTGGTCTTTATTTTCCCTGGGCAAAT